TTTCTTTATTCAAATCGAAAATTAAATGAAAAAAGAAAAGCCATAAGAAATATGGAGAGAGAGGAGTGTTGAGTGGCAAGAGAGAGAGCTTCTTACGAAACTATTCCGATGAGATTTGTAACCGTCAGATCATCATGTAACCGTCGAGAATAATTGATCTAATGGTAACAAACTACAAAGAAATGGTTCCGTAACAAGGACAGCAGTATCTCTGTTCATTTTCACCAACAACAAGAAAAAAAGAAAAAGAAAATATAAAAAAGAAAAGGAAAGAAGCTCTGACAACGTGGCTTTGACGCCGGCCGGATTCAGGCCATGATTTTTTCCTTTTTCCATTTTTTCGTCCTAATTTTTTTTTTTTTTTTTTCACATTTACAGTGATATTTTCTTTCAATTTTTGTTTTTTTTATTTATACAATAATTAGAGCTCAATTTTGGGATATTTTATCCATTGCAGCCAGTTTACCTTATTTATTTCTTCTGTTCCTTTATAATGATAAATCAATTGGGAAATAGAAAAATTACAACTGTCCATTACCTTTTTATTATTATTATTATTTTTTTCAAGAGAAAATGCCAAAATTTCTGGTCTTTCTGCGGACAATCAGAAGAATTACGTAATGTAGCTTAACTAATTACGTAATTTAAGAGAAGTTACAACGTTTGTTCTGTTTATAGTATATTGCGAAATTATAGCCATACAATTTTGTAAGTGGGACCTATTGGCATATAATTTGTTACTAAGTCAAAATTTTTATTATCATCAATTTTTGTATGAATTAGACATGGCCCAGCCCGCAACCGGCCATAGGTTGCCAGTTCCGAGAACCGTCACCGTGATTTTGCGGGTCGTTTTTGGGTCCCGCTTTTCTATTTTTGGTCCCGACAGACATGGCCCCGCCCGGCCCGCAACCGGCCCGTAGGTTGCCGGTTCGAGAACCATCACCGTGATTTTGCGGATCGTTTCCGAGTCCGGTTTTTTTTATTTTTGGCCCCGGCTGGCCAGGACAGGACCGTTCACGGGCTTGGCCTTTGGTTTTTGGTGGGCCGATTAAGGTCACCCATAAGAGGGCCGGCCCGTTGAGTGGCCATCTCTAGTCTAGTCTGAATCAATTTAACATTTAGACAACGATAACAAAATTTAACATTAGACTGTTTGATTCATTGTACTTTTTTTTTTTTAAATAAATACTTTATATTATAAATATCATGCTTTTGTTGTATTATTTTTTAAGTCTTTTTTTTTTGGGTACAGGGACCTTCCGATTTCCAGATTCACAGGGGAACCGACTAATCCGGAATCGAGCCGGGTAGGACCACAAGGGCGGCAAAACTCTCCCTCAAGAGTTTTAACACTGTTGCATTCCCAGAGTTTAATTATGTATGAACTTTATACGTATATTTTTTATTGATACACAAATTTGTGTTGAAGCAACTTGACTGTTAGACATGTCGACATGTCATAAACTTCAATGAATTGTAAACACATTTTATGCTACAGTAAATCATAATTTTGTTTATTATTTTTTTTTTTACAATATTACATATCAATTTCAATGTATAAATATGTTTAAAAGTTATAACTGTGTACCAGTTGTCTTACCATTCGATGACTCCATAGAATTTTTGTCAATAATAAATTAATTATTAGTTGATAATTGATATCGTTTCGTACATTATTTTTTTTCGGAACACAATTCTTAAATAATTTTCAACGTTAATACTACTGCAAGGCAAACTTAATGGTTAGATAATCATATTTTTTTTTTCAACATATATGTATAGGTTTGAGCTGAGATTTGACATATATAAAAAAATAATATAAATACAAATATGACATTTTACAAAATAAATATGTATTTTTTTTCAACCCTATATATATGTGTGTAAATTTCATCTACTAACTCAATTATAATTGAAAGTTCTATTGTATACAAATAGTCGCTTATGCGGATACACTATACACAACAAGACATGTAGAAATGTAATAAAATAAAAAAATAAAATAAAAACAATACAACATGTATATATGTTTATTTTGTTTTTGTGCTTCTTTTTATGTGTTTTATGTGCGTAGTTGAGTCGATTCTAGGTTTATTTTCTTAACTTACTGCTCAATTTTAGTCATTTCGTGCGTTTTTATGTTTTTCTTTTTGTTTTTCTTTTTGTTTTATGTTTTGGCGTACTTTTCCGTGCCTTTCTGGTTTAATTTTCAGGTTTATTTAGAGGACGGAAGAACAGAATCGAACCAATTACCGAGACACGAGCATTTTCAAGTGATCCAGAGCCATTTCCGAGAAGTCCCGACCATGTCGTACCGAGTTATTTTCAAAGAGTAGCCCTGAGTTGTTTCCGAGTCTCCAATCAATGCCGAGTCTTTTCGAGCCTTTGACGATCGAGGACTGTCACCCAAGCCTGCTCCGTGCCCGCACCTCGCGCCCCAGTATGTAATTGAGGAAGTATGACTTGTGG